TTTTTTTCCCCAATTTCACGTTTTGATATTAGGGCCTGCTTGCATCAGGGACAAATGGGGCCGCGACCCTCTGCACCAGCATTGTGGCTGTGGGAGAAACTGTTTGCTTTGTACCACTGAATACTGCAATTGAAAATGCAGTCGTTTTGAAAATCTCTGCAAATGAACATTCACTTGAATTTGTTAAATCGATGCAAGTAACATCAACAAACTCGTCTAGTATACTACCTAAACAGTAAAACTGCAAATTGGTATTAAAAATCCATTCATTTTCTACAAGGCTTGCCGTCATGAAAGTCACAGTTGAGCTTGTGCAGACGTGAAAACCACTAAGCTACTAAAAGCATGTAGTTTGATATCTCATCTTAATTTTTTTTTTTTATCAAACGAATTAAACCAATATCTCAACCCACCACTGTACAATCAACTGACATTTGTTTGCTAAAGCAAATTCTCATTTACAATGGAAATGTGCATTCAGCATTCTGAATTACATGTTGAAATATGTCGTGTGGTGCGTGTGTTGTTACTCATCATCATTGGCATCCATAAAGTAACCCTGACAACCGCAAGGACCATGGAGAAGCGCTTTTGGGCAAACACCACCGGCGGGTCCCCCGCAGTCGCCGACTTTTGCCGGCAGACGACCCTGGGGCAGCCCCCGGCAGCCTCCTTGCTCTCCTTGAGCTCGCACGTGGTCCCGCACGAACTCGGGCTCAATTCGTTGTAGGTTCCGAAACTTTTGTCCAGGCTGTCCAGAGAGATCGAGCGGACGTCGCCCATATAAGCCGCGCACTGCACGCTCCTCTGCCGCTCTCCGGAACACAGGAGCTGGTAGGTGAGCGGCAAGAAGAAGAAAAGCAAGCCGCAGAAGCACAACGAATACAAAAGGAAGAGCAGCAATGTGTAGAAGCTTTCACTCTCCGGGAAGCAACCGAGGGGAGCCTGCGCGAAGCTGCCCCAGCCGCACAAAGGCAACACGCTGACGACGAGGCTGACCGCCCACACGCCGGCGATGGCCCACATCACTCGCAGGGGCCGCCGGACGGAGCGCAGTACCCCGAACCTCTTGGTCACGTAAAAAGTGTAGCCGGCGATCAGACAGGCTTTCATGTTACTCGAAACTCCTTGGAAGATGTACAGGAGCCCGGCGAGGGTGCACAAGCTGGCCGAGCCTCCGTCGCGCTCCCACTGGAGGAGAATGAAGAGGGAGAGCGGTACCACGCTGAGCAGGTCGTCCACGGACATGGAAGCCACGATGAGACACAGGGAGGTCTTCTTTCTCATCTGCAGCAGGGACAGGAGCGAGTATACGCCGCCGACGAAGGTGGCGGCGGCGATCGTTACGCACAAAGCGAAAAGAAGCAGGCGGATGCGCCCCTCCGAGGCGTCCGGCCGGTCGGTGGTGGCTGCCGAGAGGTGACTGTGGTTGGGCGGCGAGGAGTTCAGGTGCTGCGTGGACATCTTCCCGGCGATTAAGTTACTATCAGACGAAGCTCAAGTTTGCACGAAAAGCAAAGAAGAGAGGCATCAAGCACATCATGACATTTTTTT